GGAGAGGGAGAGGGAGAGGGAGAGGGAGAGGGAGAGAGAGGACACCTGGGTTTGTTGAACAGACATTGTCCATTCTAGACCGATGACACAACTTTGAGTTAAGAATAGCGAAGATAGAGAAAGCGGTCACACACAGAAAGAGCTCACCACAGTCTTGCTAGTAACTCCCATATTCTGGATTCAAGGCAGGGTCTTCTCAAAGCTGATGACTGTCATCTCAGAGGTGTGCCTTTAAATGAATTGGGAAAAAGCCCTGAAGAGAAAGCTTGCCTTTAGTGTCCCCCACCCCCACCTCTGTCCCTGGTGATTGCAGGCATGGGGCTATCATCTCCACATCTCCCAGCTTAGGTCTCCTTTCCCGGGTGAAGTTACTTTGTTTTGGTGTCTCTGGGAGGCTTGCCAACTCTGGCCTCAAAGATCCAAAATGATGAGACAGAGAGTTCTGAGACCGTGTTACACTGGCTCTTCTTCTCCAAGCTTTTCTTTGCTGATATCCCTGCCGGGGTTGACATCTTTCTCTTGGGTAGTGTCTCTTCAGCCAGAGATATTGAAGTCATAGAATCAGACAGTTGGCAAAACACCAAGAGTACTCAAACCCAATTTCCAATGTAGGAATCTCTCACAGCAACTTCAACTTACTGTTATATGCACATTATTCACAGGGGAGAATTTCTTAGCACATTAGGTGCTCATTTCATTTAGTTTATAGAAAGTTCTTCCTCATGATCTTAGATCTTATACTTTTAGCTAATGAAGGTGTGTCACATACTTGTGTGATAAGTATATTCCTTTCTCTCCTCCATGACTTCTCTGTTTCAGATTTAGAACACCTTTCTTTCTGAATATTATGGATAAATTAAAGTGTGGAACTGGACAGTGATTATAAAAATTTGCAAATCAATAAGCTTTACTTGGCTCATTCATTCATTCACAAACTAGCTATGAGCCAAGGCTTTGCAGTAAATTCTGGGGATATATGATAAATATTGTCCTTATAGAGTTTATAGCCCAGCAAGAAATACAAACATGAGAAAGATTACCCTATCATGTCAACAGAATCAGTGTGCAGTGGGGAGCAACTTCATACACCAAAGAGTTGTTAGACTTGGAGCAAGGGATATGGAGTCTTCCAGGATGTATCAGGGTCTTGCTGGGCCCTGACCTTTGCTCTCACAAATAAGAAACCAAAGGAGAAACTTAAGCTGTGAGTCAAAAGGTTTCATACACGTTACCACCCTTGTCCCACTTACCATTCTGCTTCAGATGGTAAGCACTACCTCCAGGTGGGACCCTGAGAGTCTGCCAGAGGCTGGGTCACCTCTGTATTTGCTCTGGACAGTCGATGGTCACATCATACTTACTCATTTGCTTGAATGGCCGGCTTCTCACTCTGAACTGTGCTATACAGACCTGTGGTCAGTGGAAAACAATCCTTGTTTTGCTTTGGCATTTTGATCCTAGTTGGCTACACAGAGCTTAGCTGCAAATGACCCCCAGGTTGAACTTAGACATCTAGAAATGATTTGTTTTCCTCCTCTGTTTTTCCACCGTATATAGCCTGTCTGATCAAAGACTTTGGATTACAGTGGGGTTTTCCTCTCCTTAACTCTATACTTTTTCTAAATATGCACTTAGAAAATAGTTTAAAATAAGAAGTTAAAATAATGACTCAGATTGAGAAAGCTGTAGCTTACATCACTTGCAAGGCCCCTCCCCTGTGGTTGGGAGTCACTGTTGTGCGCGTTTATAGCCCGTGTTGAAGCTTATTATCGTTAGGTCATAAGAATCTATCTTCAGATGTCATCAGATGATCTTTTTATGAGCTCTTGCTTTGGGATATTAAGGTTCTCTGGTTTTTAACTTCATAAAATGACTGCCAGGCATGATGACAGATGCCAATAATCCTGTCACTTAGGAAGTAGAGGCAACGGGATAAGGACTGGAAGACCAGCCTTGAGTCCATGAGACCCTGTGTCAAACAACAACAAAAAAGGAAGAAAGAAAGGAAAAGGAACAGAGGCTTCCTTTATACTGAAATATTTGCTTGTATTTCAGAACGTTTCTTCATGTGGCTTCTAAACATATACTTAAATCTTGCTTTACATTTTTATTAACTTCCCTTACCAAACTGCCTGGCAAATTTGAACATATGCCTATGTTTTTGTGTGTATATGTTGACATCAAATAAAATTTTCCCATAATGCTTTAAGGCAGTGTAAGTATATTATTGTCTTAACTTTAATTTAATTGCTATGAATGTCAAAATTTAAAAAATCTGTTTATTAAAACACCTCTCTTCCTTTTATTTAAACACTTGGTTCTCTTCTCTTTCCATGCATGATGGTATTATTGATTTGTTATCCATTCACCTAATCCTTTCAGATATAAAGCTTTATCTTTCAGGTTTCCATAGATCTACGGTATTCATTTCAATGTATTTGTAAGTTTTAATTTTGTTTACGATGAGTTAAAAAGTGCAACCAAGCTTTAAACTGTCTCAGTTGCACAGACACTGTTTGTATGCAACCGCAGTAGAAAGGGCAGAGATTTCCTCTCCTGATTTACTTTCTCTTTCAGTTTGACATAAAAACCTTAAAAAGAAAACAGAAATAATATTCCTGAACTTAACTCTTAAAAAAAAAAAGAAGAAAAACCTAACTAAATCCTAAATGTGATTATAAATAAGTCAAGAAAAGTCCTATTTCTCTTACAAACTTTAAAATGAACTTTAAACTTTAACTTCAACTTTAACTTTGAACTTTAACTCAAACGAACTTTAAAATGTAATTGTGGGTATAAGTTGGGGCCTGCAAAGACTGACTCTGAGACTTGCCTCAGTATTTCAGAGTGTGTGTGTGTGTGTGTGTGTGTGTGTGTGTGTGTGTGTGTGTGTAGAGTTCTGGAAAGGAATCTAGTAAGATTCATATAATTTATTCCTTTCTGGGGTGTGGTAACTTCTCAGTCACCATTAAAAACGTTAAGTTGACATTTATTACAATTTTTGTTTAAATTCTAATCTCTAATGAATTCTCCTTAGTGAAACCTTTGAGACCAAACAGGTCTGAAGCTATTTGCTCATCTGTAAATGGGAGAATGTTTCCGTCTTGCAGTATTCTGTTCAGACTAACTGTCCTAGAGAATATTGAAAATCAAGCTAGCCACAGCTCACAGGAGACCCTTATAATGCTGAATTCTGTTCCATTTTACCATCTCATCTCAGACCAAAAGGGAAAGACTTTTTTTAAAGTATGTGTGCATTTAAATGTGGTTATTCTGTGTTGACATGAGTCCTTACAGTGTGCCAGGATATTTAAACAGAAAAATATGTGATGGTTGAATTTCACATATCATGCACCTTTCAGCAAGTCTTTTTGGAAACCAACACATGTCTGGTATTGTGAAAGGCACTGGTCACACAGAATAAAACTCTCTTTGTGCATTGACAAAACACTATGGAACTTTGTGAGTAAACCCTCTGAAAAATATTTCATTAAATTTTACCACTAGGTCTAACTCTTTCTGCCGCACTGGTCAAACACTAACTCCCCAGAAACAGAGAACTGGGCACTGAGTGCTGAAGTGTGGATGATATTTCCCCTAAAAATGTGCTATGTGACAAAGTGAGTCAGAGAAAATAATGTATTTATGGAGCCAACTGAAAGCAGAGATAAGGGTCCTAACAGTGTCATGGTTCCATCAACAACAGTTGACTCTACATGTTATTGTGATGACACAACCCAAAAAAGACAGTTCCAGTAACACAAACCACCCATTTCTTTCCTTGAAAGAATTGCTTATTTACCTCAAGTCAGGCAGATTATTGGTCACTTTGCTTTCTGTGGAAGGTTAACATTCCTTGAAGCAACCCTGCTTCCAACAGCAATGAACTCTCATGAGTGTGTTCTCACAATCTTATAATTCAGATATTTCTCTTATGTTTATTTTCCACCTTCAAGATATATGTTCTAAAGCCTGAGAAATTTGATTTTAGAGAATCAAGGTGCAAGAGGCAATTATCTCCTGACTACTTGATTTGTATTATTTACTAGAATAGAAGTTTATATTCTATGATTGACACAATTCCAAATTACTAATAGTGAACACCACTGGACCTTCTTAAAATAGCCGTTTGCTTCCTACCACTTGGCAAAATCCTAATTTGAAGAGCACTTCTAGAGAGACAGTCATCATTTATTTCAATGGACATGTTTCTGATCTTTTACCAGGATTCCCGGAATAATCAAATTTTCAATTATTTCTGCTCATTAGTTCCCAAACCAGACCTGATGCAGACAAATCCCATAATCCCTTTGGACACATTTTCTCCCTGAAGAACTATGGAAACGTCTGGAATCTGGGGTTCACAAGGGGCATTTCTGCAATTTGATCAAACAGTGATCTTAAGTGATCTATAGACGATTACGTAAGCACCATGGCCTGCATTCTCAAGGTTCCCTATCTTCTTGTTCATTTTTATAGATGACTTTCTGGGAGCTGTTTTCAGAGCCTGATAAGTAGACCACTGGTAAATTCACCTTTCCAGTTCTAAGATATGTCTATTTAGGAAACCAAATAGAGCAGGAAAATTAAACAAGGAAGAAAAGCAAGGGTCAGGAAAGGAAACACAGCAGAAGGGTTGGGAGAAAGAAAAAACACTGAATAAAGCAAAGAAAAGGGAAATTCTAG